CTTTTCTGATTTTTTTTAACTAGCTTATTAGAAGTAAGTTTCAACTACAGTAAACTTCCGATAATCCGGCACCTTTAGGACCCAGGGGGTGCTGGATTATCAGATATGCCGGACTAACAGAAGGGGGGGCTATGAGGGGTCTGGGGTGGGGTGGGGGGATGCTATCCCAGACCCCCTCAGAGCCCTCCCTTCTGATAGTCCGGCTCTGCCCCAGGAGTACCCAAGTCAGCTGCTGCTGAAACTACCAGTGGCTGATTCCAGGAAGCTGGGGCAGAGCAGCTCTGTCTCGGGCTTCCTGGAGTCAGCCGCTGGTCAATTTCAGCAGCGGCTGAATCCGGGACAGCTGGGATGCTGCTGGGGTGGTCCCGCAGCCCCGAGGGGCAGCGCTATTGGACCTACCCGGCAGCACTCCAGCTGTTCTGCACCCTGCTTCCCGGATTCAGCGCTGGTCAGTTTTAGCAGTGGCTGAATCGGGGAAGCTGGGGGCAGAGCAGCTCCAATGGTCTGGCTGCCCGGAGCACTTCCGGGTTCCTGATGGTGCCGGACCATCAGGAGCGCCGGACCGTCAGATGCCGGACCATCGGAGTTTTACTGTATATAAAATACTCTGTACTGCTTGTGCATAAAACTGTAGAATTTTCCAGATCTCGTAGTAGCTTAAACGACATTGATTTATAAAACTGCATTTTATTCTTATTTTATGTAGAATTTCGTATGCAGGTGAATAAATTCCTATAAAGGATTAATATCAGTGAAAAATACTGGTTATGCTAAGAAAGTCTGCCTGGTTTTTCCCCTAATAAATATGCATCCATGGAAGTTTGAAAATAACAACACCACTACACCAAATTAATGGATAACAAGTATCATTGGCAGTGAAGGTGTTAAAAACATCTATGCATTGTTGACATAGGGTGCTCTGAAATATTAAATTTAGAAAACATTTTTCAAATGCATATAGAAAACTCTGCAAGAGTAACAATTGGGCTAATCCTTTTGAATTACTATTGTGTAGTTCGATATATCTAACTATAAGTTATGTTACGTAGCTAATCAACTCCAGCGAGGTATTTCTCTATTTATTAGAGTTGATTATACAGTACTGATAGTGTATACAATTTATAAAATGTGACAAGAATGGAATGGCCAGCTTGTTTGTGTTTCCTCCTTACAGGTCTATCATAAACAGAGAGAATCCCCAATTGTAAGAAAAAAACTGAGACGCTGAAGGGAAGAAAAAGAGAAATAGCTTTATACCATGCTGTATAAGTTTACCACAACTTGTGTGCGTGTCCATATTCATCACCGCCAGCTGATTTTACAAATCCTCTCCTCCATGCTTTCTATGATTTAGAATAAGTAGGCCAATCCATATTCCTATTTTGTGTTCGATGTAACCATTTCACATCATTAGATCTTTTTACCCCATGTACAAGCAGCTCTGCTCCAGGATTATTCACTGTACCCTTGTAACACAAGACCTGTCCATCAGCCTTTCATCTTTCTCTTCTGTACTCTCAGTTCTATTTGCATTAGCTACTTTTTTATCCTCGTCTCTATCAGACCCCATCAGTTTGCCTCTTCACCTTTAAAGCACCACTAACTGTGATATGTGAGCACTAGCCATTAAGGCTTCTAACTATTCCTTTAATCATGTCAAATGCTAAAATGTTTGGTACCTTTTTTATAAGTGAACAAACAATATTCTGATTATTAAATATATTTCTGAAAGTTTATTTATGGCCTCTGTGGGATTTTTTTTCTGTATTAAAGTGTTATTTTAATTTAAATATAACCCTTGTTTCTCCTTAGCAGGTGGTAGCTACTGTAATTTGTTTATTAAAAGGACTGACAAAGAAAGACTGTTCAGAAATAAATGAGGGCAGACTTCAGAATTCATCCAGAAATATGCAGTTTTTTTCCTAAGTAAAGTCATTGCATGTTTTTTGCATACAGTAGTGTATAGACTTCTCTTTGTTTCTGTTTCTCGCCATTTGAATCGTTGGGTGTGGGATTCAGGCTGGCAAAGATAAAAATGGAAGTATGGGATAATGTGGATAGATGAGAAAAAACGGCAAGTTTTATGGCTGTGGCACACAAGCCATTTTATGTGTGCAAATTTCTAGTCTCAAAATTGATGTATCAGGTTTTTTCTTATAATTCAGTTAAAAAGTCAATGTCACTTTTACATGCCCATCTTCATTCCCCTCCACCCCCCAAAAATAGCTTCAGCACTCTCTTTTCATAAAACATAATCAATTAAACGAGTTAAATAAATGTAACAAATCCAAAACAAAGCAAGCAAGGGTACATTCATGTTATTGTGAAAACAAAATGTTTAATAAAGAAAGAGATTTCAGCTTCCTTAAGGCTAGAAGTGTGCACAAAGTATGATGTTTAAAGTTCTGAAAAACAAATAACAGAATTATAGACTTTTAAATGGAACATGATGCCAATGTGAAAGGCATGCTTTTCTTTCTCACAAAAATATCAGATCATCAATGAGGTAAGACTGGAGAAATGCAGTATCACATACAGACAGCACTTCACTGGATATATTTGCTTGCTGAAATCTGAAAACAGATAGTGTGTTTTGTACTGAGAAAATGACGTCAAAGTATGACCGTCTGCAAAGCAGAAAATTGTTGTACAGATTTGGCACTCAGCATGTGGTCCTTGCAATCTGTGCAGAGGCAAAAATACTGATCTAGTGCTGCACTATGCAGTACGTGCCTCGTTACCATAATGGCATAAGGCATAGAAATGTTTGCACATATTTCTGAAAATCACTTTTCCATGTCAAGCAAGCAGTACATTTATGTCTAAATTTTCCAGAGTCCATGCCATTGATTAATCATGTGAATGTGCCACAAACTTGTATTTTCAGGTTTAGCTACATGTTTGTATGCACAAGTCCGGTAAGCGCACTCTCAAACAAGCAGCTGTCAGCATAGTTAATCTGCTTTGATATGTGCCTGCACAAAGAATTGTGGGTGCAAAATTGGAGAGCATGATACTTAATATGAGACTCAAATAATGAGTAAGGAAGTGGTTAAAGGGGAAATTACAATGAGCTATGCTAGAAAGAGAACAGTGGAATTTCCTGGTGGAGTCAGGGATCAGTCTTGGTCCAGTGTTACTTAACAGTTTAATTAATGACCTTGGCACAAAAAGTGGAAGTGATCTAATAAAGTGTGTGGTTATTACAAGGTTGGGAGGAGGCCTGGACTATCATTTAAGGAGATTTGGTGCCCTTAAAAACTGGAATAATAGAAATGGGATGGAATTTAATAGCGCAAGGTCATGAACTTCAATGACTAAATTCAGTCACTGAATGGTGAAATGGAGGGATTTAATCTTGCTTTAAGGGCCTGATCCAAAGTCTGTTGAAGTTAATGTCAAGTGTTCTGGTTTGGGCCCTAGGTGAGAAATGCCACACGGCCTTAGCTATAGAGTCGTTTCCTCTATAATCAATCAATAACTTCATTTGTTAGACAATCATCTGGGTGTGCACTCACATACATGCATGCTCATACACCACACTCATGCTGATCTCATACATTCAGATGGATTATGTATTGTCAGAGTAGAATTAATGTAATATTTCCATTATTAATGATCTTTCAGGTTGTTTTTGAGATTTTGGCTATTTCTAGTTGTGTGGGTTTTCAAGCTTGCTGCGGTGTGGGGTCTCTCCAGTTTTTTGTTTATATCAAAAAAGATTTTGTTGTATAAAAGAAATGTCAGCTGTCCACTTGGTGTGGGGTCTCTCCAGTTTTTTATTTATATCAAAAAAGATTTTGTATAAAAGAAATGTCAGCTGTCCACTTGGAAGTATACGCACAATATTCTGTTAATAATTTGAGATCTCCCTCAAAATTTAATACTGTTAAACTGAAAAATATTGTTTATCTTTATATGTTTAAATATATGTTTGTTTATCTCAGTGGAGCCATTACAAACTATTTCATCAATCTAGCCTAGGTCCATTACAGCTTTGATACTGACGTGTCTAAGAATGACTGTGCATGCATGTTTACAGATTTTCAAGGATTAACAATTAGGCTGGCACATTTGACCTATTGTTTAAATACCAAAAGGGCCTAAAGATATTTAGCTTCATGATCTGCAAAATTACATTTTGAAATGTAGTCATATTCTACATTCAAATTACCCCTGAGTGTATGTTTCTTTCACCTAGCCTATTAGCATTAATTTCCAATGACACAGGTGTTGTTAGAAAATGAAAACATAATGTATATGATAAGATATTTGTAGGGCTAAGTCAAGGTCACAAAATATGGGGGTCATAACAAATAAATACCAGTAAAACCTTTACACCATAACACACTATCATATATTTTCTTTACAACATGTACTTTACAGCAGAATGATTGCAGAAATATTTTTGGGAGTTTTGATGCTACGTGAAACCAGCCTTGCTTCACTCCTCAAAAGTGTCAGAGAGGGAGGAAAATTATCATTTCTATGTTCTAAATGTAGGAAAAAACAAAAATAAATACAAATATTTTCAAACAGTGTTTAACACTTAAGAGCAATATTGATTTTAAGACCCAATCTCTCACAAGGATTTTAAAAAATGAAAATTGTGCAGCATATACCAGCTCTCCAGTAGTGTAAAGAATCAATTTTAGAATCAATCAAGAAACCTTGAACCAAAATTGAGTTTTATCTATCTTGTACCTCAGAGCAGAGTAGTCTAAATTTGGAGAAACATTCACATTTGTGCAGGAAAGTAGGAGGGAAATGTTTTTGGCAGTTTGTGTGTACCTTGTTTTTTTTTTTATTGATTCAGTTTTAAAGATCATCCTCTGGTGAGAAAAGAACTAATTGACTCACTAGTTATTGGGTCTTCACTTGAGAGTGACCCATGCCATAAAGAACTAAGTTATCAAATATTCCCCTTCAGTGAAATTTGAACATATAATGAAGAAACAAATACCTACATTTGCTTTAAAGCTTATTTTCTGTCTTCACAGGGAAGCAATCAGCTGTGTTTGTGAAGCAGTACCTGGAACCAAAGGAGCCTTCAAAAAAAGAAAGGTATTTTTCTTTCTTTCTTGTCAGTAGACCATATTTCCTTAGGTCAGCATCGTGGAAACCCAGACACAGTGGGCAGGTGAGTTGAAGTCAGAGTGAGAATTGCAAATGCAAAATCTTTCAGCCTTCTCTGTTGCAGCCACCGTAAATTGCACCTACTGCCCTTCTGGTCAACATCACTCACCAGAAGTCAAAGTAAGGGAGTGTCTCCTCTGCATATAAGATCCATATCATGGCTAGAAGCATATCTGGGTGGGGAAGTGGCTGGGGAGTGAGTGAAGTCTTAGTTCTGGCCCCATACTATGGGCCACAGCAAAGGGGGGGAAGTACACTGTGCCAGATATATGGTTGACACAAACTGTTGCCCTCCTGAAGCAAGAAGGGAAGCAGCCAGATACCATATTGTGACTCTGAGTGCTTGTACAAACCTCTGGAGCAGCACAACCTTGAACTGCCCCTTACTCAGGGCTTTTGGCATGGCTACAATTTAGCCTTTAGGAAGCCTAATTTGAAGTGATGTCAGCTTACATCTGAAATAGATTACAGTTATACTATCAACATAAATAGAATGTATGGGGGAGGGTTCAGAATGAGAACCCACGCATTGTCCTTGCTGACTTTGACCCCTTTTTCTGGTATATTTTTACCTGTTATGGGCCACCTGTGATATTGTATTTAACTACAAGTCAAACACACACAAACATTAAAAAAATAATGCTCATCAAAGCAATGGAATCTGCTTTAGAATTGCTTTTTCAAAAAATACCTTCCATATTCAGACTTTCTAATGGGTGCTCTTAATCAGAAAGTAAAAGCAAGGAAAATGTCTTTTTTCTTGAAAAAAAAATAACATAAAAGAGCATTGGGAAAATGGGTGAAAGGGAGTTCCTAGTGCCCAATCAGCCGGCTTGTTGAATCAGGCTATGTTTATGCTACAGAGTTTTTTCGGAAAAACTTCATTTACGTCCACACTGCGATTGCGTTCTTTTGAAAGAAAATTGAAAGACCAGAAGGGTTTTTCCGACACTGGTAAACTTCTTTTTATGAGGAAGAAGGCTTTTCCCAAAGGGGCTCTTTCAGGAAAAGGTGTGTGTGGATGGGGAAGAGGGAGTTCTTTCGAAAAAAAGAAAAGAGAAAAAAGCACAGGTGCCCTGGTGTCCACTCCATCCATAGTAATCACAGCTTAATTGTGAGATAGTGTCCATTCAGTGTGGATACTATCTTTCGAAAAAGCAGATTGCTTTTTCGATGCGCTTTGGCAGTGTGGACGCTCTCTTTTGGAAAAAGGGATTTCAGAAGATCTCTTCCGGAAAAGCTTCTTCCGAAAGAAGCCTGCAGTCTAGATGTAGCCTCTGTGTGTGTTAGGCTATGTCTACCCTGCAACGTTTTGGCAACACACAAGTTGCCAAAAAGAAAGTCACTAAGGAAGTCGTGGTAACTCTAGTTAGGAATTGGGAAGAAATGCTACTTTTAAAACAAACCAGCCCTTTGGAAAGGGAAATGGTGCTGGTAGCAGCACATCAGCGAAATTTTAACCACCACAACAACAAGAACAACAAAATCATGAACTTTTGCAGGTCTGTTCCCCATCCTGTCTTCATAGTGACTCCCATATTTTTGTCAGTTTTAGCTCATGTGTCTTAACTTACGTGGCTAGGGAAAATTCTCATAGACTCATAGACTTTAAGGTCAGAAGGGACCATTATGATCATCTAGTCTGACCCCCTGCACAGTGCAGGCCACAGAATCTCACCCACCCCTCCCAGAATAATGCTCTCACCTATATCTCAGATATTGAAGCCTTCAAATACTTTGAAGACCCCAAGATGCAGAGAATCCTCTAGCTGTGATCTGTACCCCATGCTACAGAGGAAGGCGAAAAACCTCCAGGGCCTCTAGTCTGTAATAGGGATTTATTGTTCACTCTGAAGATCATACTCTGCAGATATTCTGTTGTGGATCTCCCTTTGATATCACTGCGATTTCCACTCCACACATGGAGAGAGTGTTCAACAGAGATTTGCAGTGCAAGCTGAAAAGAAGACTAATAGTTTACATAGAAAAAATTATTCTGCATGAAGTACACTGGCTTAGTGTGTGCAGTTATATCTGCTTTCAGCAGCTGTCTCTAATGAGAATAAAACTCCACTACGTACTTATAGCCAATAATGTTATTCCTTCATTTCAAGTATTAAGAATATGTGCTTTTGGTGTTGTAAATACAGGATTTGACCCCCCCTGGCTATTGTACACTTGTAATGCTGTGTAACCCATGGTTTGTTGTTATTTTACACAATTTATGCTTTAACCATTTTGTTATTTGTGTTATGAGAAATGACCTAGAGAGAAAAGTAGCAGCCCATAAGAAGTGATCACTACTCATGCAGATTAAAAGTTATCGTTCTTGAATATTAGCCCTTAAGATGTCAGCTGATCCTGTGTGAAGTGTGCATTGTACATCTTGCATGCTAGAAACTGGAGGGCTACTATTAGCAAGTTGGGCTCCTGTACTGACCATAGACTGGCTAGAGCTTTTGTCTCAGAGGTACAATAGATATGAGCCTTCATCAATTCCCTGGAATGGCTGATGTTATCTTGGATGAGGTTTAAAAACAACAAGCAGTCCTGTGCACCTTAGAAATTAACAAAAACTATATAGTATCATGAGCTTTTGTGGTAAAACCCACTTGATCAGATGAGTTGGAGTGGAAATAACAGACTCCAAGATCCATATAACAGCAAAAGTAGTACCTGTCAATTGTAGGACCCATGTTAACGAGGCTAATTAAGAGGGCTGGATGTGTCCTTTTCATAGCTTTTGATGTGAAAATGTGGAAGTTAAAGACAGAGGAAATTGGCTTTGTAACCAATTAATGTCTTTATTCAAGCCCAGGGAAACAGTGTCAAATTGGTAGATGAATTCCAGTTGTGTAATCTCTCTCTGTAATTGGGTAGTGAAATTCCTTTGTAGAAGAAGAGTTACTTTTATATCCATGATTGAATGACGAGGTGGGTTAAAATGGTCCCATATAGGTTTGTGTGTGTTACCATTTCTGATGTCTGATTTGTGTCCATTTATCCTTTGTTGCAGAGACTGTCCAGTTTGGCCAATGTACATGCCAGAGGGGCATTGCAGGCACTTAAAGGTATATATCACATTAGAAGCTGTGCAGTTGTATGAGCCCCTGAGTTTGTGGCTTATGTGGTTAGGTCCTGTGATGTTGTCACTTGTATTGATGTGTGGACAGAGTTGGCAGCGCGGTTTGTTGCACAGGAAGGTTCCTGGGTGAGTGTATCTGAGGTGTGATTTGTGGCTGCTGGAAAGGATTTGCTTCAGCTTAGGGGGGGTTGTCTGTAGGTGAGGATTGGCCTGTCTCATAAGGCCTATGAGAGTAGGGATCATTTTCCAGGATAGGTTGTAGATTGAAAATGATGTGATGGATAGGTTTAAACTGGAGGCTGTAAGTTATGACCAGTGGTGTTCTGTTATTTTCCGTGTTGGGCCTATCTTGAAGATGTTGACTTCTGGGTACTTGTCTGGTTCTGTCAATCTGTTTCCTCACATTCCCAGGTGGGTTATTTAGATTAAAGATCTTTATAAGTGTCTGTCTTTGTCTCTGTCTGTGGGATTGGAGCAAATCCGGTTGTATTTTTAGTCTTGGCTGTAGAAGACAATGGATCGTGTGATGTGTCCTGGATGGAAGCTGGAGATACGTAGGTAAGAATAGTGGTCAGTAGGTTTCCGGTATAAGGTGGTGTTTATGTGACCATCATTTATTTGTACTGTAGTGTCAAGGAAGTAGATCTCTTGCATGGACTGGTCTGGACGGAGGTTGATGGTGGGGTGGAAGTTATTGAAATCCCTGTGGAATTCCTCAAGGTTCTCCTTCCCCTGGACTCATATGATGAAGATGTCATCAATGTAGCATAAGTAGAGGAAAGATGCTAAGGGACAAGAGCTGAGGAAACATTGTTCAAGGTCAGCTATAAAAATGTTGGAAAATTGTGGTGCTATGGGAGTACCCATAGCATTGCCACTTACTTGAAGGTATACATTGTACCGAAATTGAAAATAGTTGTGGGTGAAAACATAGCTCAGCCAACACCTGTTTTGAGGTATCTTCAGGAATAGCATCCCATGACTGTTTGTAGATCATCCTCATGTGGAATGTTCATGTAAAGAGCTTCTACTTTCATGGTGGCCAGGATGGTATTTTCAGGAAGATTGCTGATGTTCTGTAGTTTCTTCAGGAAGTCGGTGGTGTCTCAAAGATAGCTAGGAGTGCAGATAGAGGAAAGAGTCAACATAGCCAGATAATCTTGTTATATGAGTGACAATGCCTGAAATTATGGGACATTTGGGATTTTCAGGTTTATGGATCTTGGGTAGAAGATAGAAAACTCCTGGTTGGGGCTCTGGAAATGTATTTGTATAGATTTGGTCCTGAGATGTGTCAGGGAGATATCTTGGTTTCTGTTATTTTCGCTCCAACTCATCAGATGAGTTGTGTTTTACCCATAAACGCTCATGATTCCATATATTTTGATTAGTCTCTAAGGCAGTGTTTCTTAAACTTTTTAAGACCAAAGAACACCAAACAATATTTTTTTTAATGAGGAACACCAAGGATTGTTGAGGGGAAAAAGAGGAGGGGGGGAGTTACTGAGCAAAAAAAAAAAAAGTTGCCTACTTCTTTAAGGGCAGCCATTTTGAACTCTGTTATTCTCTGAGGCACACCTCTGACTATCTCACAGCACACCAGTGTGCCTTGGAACACAGTTTAAGAAACACTGCTCTAAGGTGCCACAAGACCACTCCTTGTTTTTAAAGTTACAAACTAAGGTATGTGGCTACCCCTCTGAGACTTTTAAATGAGGTTTGTTACACACAGTGATCCCATGGGGCTGAACAGTATAATGTAGTTTAGCATTCCATTTCAGTTACCATCCCGAATCGACAGAGAACTAAAATGTGCTACTTTACTTCACAGCCACCAAGCAAAGCTCTCTCTAGCATCTTGGGAAAGAGCAATCTTCAATTTGCAGGAATGAACATAACTCTGAATATATCCACCACGAGCTTAAATCTAATGACTCCTGATTCTAAACAGGTTTGTGTATAAAAATCCCTAATAGTCTATTGATGAAAAGCATAAGGCATAATGTTTGCTACTTGATAAAATGCTATTATGCTTCTAGTGTTATTTCTTTATAAAATAAAAATTAATGAAAATATAAAATGCAATAGATTAGTTTGTTTACTCATTTAACATAGAACGGTGAAAATAATGTTCTCTCAGTAATTCCTCTAAAAAGGGCTACTCTACACTGTGAAATGGCTTTTTCTGGCAGAAAAAGGTCCAGTTCCAAACTTTGTCTGTGTTGGGTGGAGGTATTTTAGTTCTGATGCATCTATGCTTTAGAGATGAATGCTATCCACAGTGGGTTTTTTTCTTTTCCTACATGTTGTTTTAGAGGGCATTCTATTCATAAGGTAATGTTAAAAAGCCTGCTTTGGGGGGTTTGTTCTTCTGTGGAATATCCTACTCTCAGAAGAAGGAAACCTGTTACAACCAATCCCTTTACTCTTCTCCTTTGTGCCAAAGGTATATGTTGACTTTGGGGAATCACTGCAGTGGGTTGTGAATGATATATGAGAAGAGAAAAAAACCTTGCTCGCTGTATAGAGAGAGCCGGTAGTGTTGCATAATCACTGCTCTGCTATTCGCTGTGAGCTACGTACTGGGTTGAGGCACTTCATGTTCTGCCTAGATACAGCTAGGAAAAAAACCCTGCTGTGCCACAAGATAAAAAATAAACAAGAAACACACACACACCTGAAAGGTTTCCCCACCATTAGCCCTATATAGAAGATGCTGTCATTTTCTATATTACTAGTTCATACACTAGTAGCAGCACTACTGCATATTGTAGTGTTTTGTACCATTATTAAAGAATCTGATGCATGGTACTTTTTAGAAGGGCAGTTGTCTCCAGCTTTCACTCCTGGCACAGGGAACCTTTCCTTAGCACAACCCCTCTGCAAAACATGCAAAAAAACTGAAGGCAATTTAAAAATAAGTTATTTTTTAAAAAGGACAGAGTCTCAGCTCAGTGCAAAGCAGCAGACTTTTTCGGATGTCAATAGAGCAATGCTGATTCATACCAGCTGGAGAGCACCCCCAAACATTTTGCCTTTTTTCTGAACTGGGAATAGAGGCAGATGGCCAATATAATGTATCTCTATATTGCCTATATTGTGATTTGGTGAGCCAGATCTGGCTATGATATGGAGGACTGGGAAATAAAGGGGTCTTTGAGAAACCAGCAAGCTGTTGGGGGCTCTTCATTGTTTCTGGTCTATAATAGGAATGTTGGCTTACCCCAGAGAGTGTTTTTGGAACATATAAAAATGTACTCTGCTTACTGTAGCATACCTTTCAGAATACTGAAAGCAAGGCTAGTCAAGTGGCCTTGTGATTAATTCTTTATGGTGCCATACAGGAGATAGGCCCAATTCTTGTTACAAGTCCCTTGTTCCTGGATGAACAGGGGTTGGAAACCATGCAAAAATAGCATGTTTAGTCTTTGAAGTAGGGAGAGAAGGAGCCAACTGAGTTGCTCCATTGAGTTAACCCTGTTAGTTAGGAGTGACGTTGAGGCATGGAGTGAATGCCTTAGTCCTCCATGATCAAAGACCACTGTGATGTAAATCTTTGTGGTGATAGTGGGGAGGGAAACCCTTCCTTGGGGATAAAGAGAAATATAGTTGTCCACTGAGATTTAAAAGAAAGAAAGGTCTGTTGAAAGGTTATAGTTGGATGAGCAGCAGGGGTTGGAAGTATTCTAAAGGGAGCATGCGTTACCTGGAGGAAGCACTTCACATTATGCTCTAGTGACTCTGGGAAGGACCTCCAAGACACACTCACGTTCAGCCATTTTCTCAACAGAGCAGACACTGCTAGGCAGGTTCTTTCAGGTGCAGGAAGAAAGGAAAATGCGTTGGCTCAAGGCACGCCTCTCTTCATGATCTCCGCTTCCAAAATAAAGAATACTTGATGTATACTAAGCTCTATGCTTCTTTTTCCATAGGGGATGATTAAGGCCTAAATTCCTTCTTAATAAGAACATGATCCTGTGCCAGTGAACTCAGTGGCACACCGCTTTTTGAGGGCAGTGATGCAGGATCAAATGAACTTTCTTTCACTGGTTGTTCAGTGACTTTATTATTTCAAGAGTTAAAAATCTGACTCACAGCACAGTAACACAACAGAATCTTCCTCTTCTGACGAGGAATTCATATCAATTCATGTATCTTTCATGCTGCCTCCCAAAGAAACACTACGCAAGTTAGACCTCAGGTGAATTGAAATTGAATTGTAGTTGGTCACTTCAAATACATTAGAATTCACCTGGGCATATGGTCAATAGTACTTGCATTTACAAACTGGACTCAGAATCCTATGTGAAACACATAATTACATTAAAACATTTGCTCTGAAACATTTAATTACATGGTAGATATTATGTATAGTGTTAGGATAAGACACATAATAAGCACATACAGCAACTGCCATATACAGTAAATCGGCGAGGCCAGATCTTTAATGTATGAGAGTGACACACCAGTTTGTACCAGCTAGAGTGATGGATGAGTGAAGACTTTTAATCAGGGGTGGCCCGAGGTGGGCTGCGGCAGCTGGCGCCCCAGGCAGAACAGCCATCAATGGCATGACGCCATCATGGAGCGCCCCGGGCGCCCCATTGAAGGCAGTGCCCTAGGCGACGGCCGAGTCGACCTATACTCACGGGCCACCCCTGCTTTTAATAAGTAGAATAATATATACTGTAGTTCCATGAGAATGACCACCTCCACATCTGGTATATGACGCGTAAGTGAAGTAAGCCTAGTTCTCAATTATATTAAGACCCTGCCGACATTGTTAAATTGACCTAAAGCCTGGTGTAAGCATCTCTAGGTTGATAGAATTCCTTCATTGACCTAGCAACTGCCCCTTGGAGACATGGGTTACATAGGTCAATGCAGGAATCTCTACCATTGGCATGAGCAATGTTTATGCTGAAGCACTGCAGAAGTTCAGCTGTGCCACTGTAGTATTTAGAGTGTAGACAAGCCCTAAGGTTTCTTTACAGTGATGTGATAGATAATCTCAGTGTGTCAGAAAGCCTGTCTGGTGTCCGCAATGTTCAAATCCACAGAAGGTTATGGAAGCCTTTAATGTTTGCCCATTATAGCCATGCGGTATGTTGGAGCTATGTGTTTTGGGTAAGTGTACCTTTTTGATCCATTCATCACTAGTGACAAAACCCTACTTCAACTGATTAAAGTTTCTGCAAAATATCTTCCTGGAACAACATTTTCAGCTATGATACTGTATGGCAGAGCTATACAATTTACTTGAATTACTTTTCTGTTCATTCATTGCTATTATAAAATGTCATCCTCATTAACTTAAGAAAAACCAGAAGTAGGGATAGCCAATATTCTTAAACTTATTTGCATCAGCAGCGTGTTCTCAGTGACTAACTCCTCATAGATGAAATGCAAAAATTTATTTTGATCTTGTTTTCAGATTTTACATCACCCTCACAAACCATAAAAAAAAAAGAAAACCAAAGTGATAATTTGCATAAGAGAAGTTACTGACTCATGGTTGTATTTTTTTTTCTGATCCAAACAGATTATAGCAAATCATCACATGCAGTCTATTTCCTTTGCGTCTGGAGGTGATCCGGTAAGCATTTCTTTAATCTCTTTCTTCCATACATATTGCTATAGGCCATATAGGAGGACCTTAAGCCAGGATTTATCTCATGTCTTAGTCAAAGGAAAATATAAGCATGTAGCTCTTGTTTCTTTTTTCATAAGCTTTCTCGACTGCTGCCATCAAACTCTTTTTGAGGGATACCACTGACAGTTAGTCACAAATCCTCCTCTTTGAATGACTGATAGGAAAAGTGCCAAAGATCCCAGAGCATTTAATATACATCTGATAATTAGGGTCTCCTATTTTTCAAAGTAAGCACAGTATTTTCATATGAATATCTTTTTACTTTTCATCTTAATTATTATCCAGTTTTCCCTTCCTGCAGTAAGGATGTAGCAGTATTTCTAGCAAGGTAGCCCCAGGTAATTTTTCTTTCCTTTTTCCTCAAATCTTTTGAAAACTGAGAGCCAAATGCTGCCCTCAGATGTGTTCATTCCACTCATATGTTAGAAGAAGGATTTGGCTTTCAGGAGAAGCCCGGATCTGCAGTTCTAAATGTGCCATGTTTAGTTTTGCTCTCAGATACTTCTGTGCAACTCACATTCAATTCATGCATATCAGAGGGCAGACTAAGGATGTTAAGAGGCAGGTAATCAATTAATCGTGTAGTTGGTAAAATTTTTATTGACTACATGATAAGGGAAGGTTTCCTCAGTCCTGGCTTGCGCCAGGTCCAGGAGTTATCTCCACTGCAGCTCTGCAGGTTAAGTGTAGTAAGAGCTGAGCATACAGGGAGCCCGGCTCCAACTACATTTAAAATGCAGCACTGGGACTGTTTAGTCCCAGCTTGTGCCAGGTCCAGCAGCCCCTGTCTGTGGGAGGCTCCCAGTGGGGAGCTAGAACCTGCTGCAGACAGGGGCTGCTGCCAGAGCAACCTCTTCCCTCAGCCAACCTGGGATGCAGCTTTGCGGCAGTCTCCCCCCTCCCGTGTAGCTGTTTCTGATAGAGGCAGAATGTGGGGGGAAGGTGAGGGACAGGTGGCACAGCAGGGATGGTGCTGGGGGGAAATGGCTTTTAAGATGGCTCCCCCCCAGCACCAGCTCTTGCTCCTCCCCTTACTGCCTCTGCATCACAGGCAGCAAGGAGGGGTTGGGGAGAGGGAGCAAGTAGTCGAGTAGTGATAAGCCTAGGCTTATTGGGTTGTCAACTACTTGCTTACATCCGTAGGGCAGACCTGGGCTTGTTCCTTGTCTACATATTCATATGAGCTGTTCTCCCAATTTCAGAAATTCATAATTTCAGAATAATGTCCTAGCCAGGAAATAGTGAGAGAATCTCGGACCAGCAAAAGTCCCTCCTGAGTCTTGAAAGCTTTTTTATCTAGATTGCTCAACCCATTCCAGAAGGGGCAGGGCTTCAGGCAGAAAGAGCAGGGCTGGGGGCTAGCTTCTCCCAGCTAGCCCTTCATCATTGTGTAGCCTGCGCTGCCCAGGACTCCACAGTGGTGATTTAAAGGGCCTAGGGCAGCTGCCCCTCGTTTTCCCATCAGCAGCTCTGGGTGCCCCACACTGCTGCTAGCCCAGACAGCAATTAAATCATCATGATTTAAAAGCAGCAGGGAATGCCCCCAACCCCAGCTGCTGCCATGCTGCACAGTGCTGCTACTGCTATTTAATAATGGCAGGGAGCTCCCAGCTGCTGCTATCATGGTGTCAGTGGACCCAGGAACCCTGGATCCTTTTAAGTTACCTGGGACCGTGGGCAATTGCCCATTTTCCCCTCCCCACATTGGCAGCCCCGTATATCTCTCCCACCTCAACTACGATATGATTTAACTGCACCAGCTCTTCAGGGCAAACTATCCTTGACATGTTTGCTGTCTGACTGCTATCAATTTGCTAAATGGGTTAATGTGGATAAAGCAGGGATACATTTGGGCCATGGTACAATAATACTTCAGGGAGTAAAAAACTGATCACCAGCACCTCTGAAATACTGTGGATTGCAACAGATGCTGGAAGTGAACAATTCCTGCAGTGGGCAGAGGCGTGATTAGTAAGATCCCTGCCTCCATAAATAAGCTCTTTGCTGCTCCATCTGCCATCCTAGTCCTAGCAACACCACCATCCATTGGCAGAGTGATTTCTCAGGAAACAACCTCAGCAGCAGCAGTAAGAGATTTGGATTGAAATAAGCAGTATTCCCAGTGTTCTAGCAAGATGAAAGTCATGCCACTGAGTAATCAAATCGGACCAAGTATGGGAGCCAACAAGAGCTGGTGTAACTGTAAAGTAAAATCCACAACAAGATGATCTCATCCTGGGGGTGGAGAGGAGGGTAGGTGTGAGCCTCCATTGACATTCAGCGGGCTTGCCACAGTAGGCTCCTACTTGGGAGGACTTTAAATAACAAAGAGCTTGCTCATGTGGTTCCTGTCTCTCACAGCTACACTTAATTACAGCCTGACACACCAAGCATGCCAAACCAGCCTAGCAGTATATCCTAACATTGCACTCACTAGTTTCTTTCCTCCTCAGGGGTGAAATCCACCATCTCCCACCAAAGTCCTATCCCATACATTAGGTCACTGGGAATATTAGAAATGCATGAATGCAGAGAGAGGGCTGTTCTGTTCTGTGCAGCTTCTTTTACTGCCTTTTTACTGTGGTATCTGAGGGTGTGTCTAGACTACACCTCTCTGTCGACAGAGAGATGTAGATTAGGCACATCAAAATTGCTAACAAAGTAGGGATTTAAATATCCTGTGCTTCATTAGCATAAACATGGCCGCCACTTTTTTCTGAAATAGAGTTTTTTCGAAAAAACTCAGCAGTCTAGACACGGATCTGTCGAAAATGAATCCTTTTTTGACAGATCCTGTAAATCTCATTTTTTGAGGATTAGACACTAACCCTCCCTTATCCCCCCTCTATTCTAAAATCTGATTTGTCTATTTTATATGTGTTCACTTTTTTTGATTGTATCCCTTTGGTATATATGGTCATGCCAATTTTCTTCCACAATTTGATCTGAGGAAGTGGGTCTGGCCCATGAAAGTTCATCACCCAATAAACCATCCTGTTAGTCTTTAAAGTGCTGCATAGTCCTGTCTTTTGTTTCAGCTAGATGTAGTGGGTGTGTCTCACAGTAGACAATTACACCAGTATTCCCTCAATTATCCCTCAAGGGCACCCACTCTGAACTCCCAGATCCTCACTTATCACCTCTCTCGGGCAGAGACCTATATCTCTGTCCCTACTAACAGTGGTTATTGCAGTGTAGTTCCCTGCCTGTACTGTGATATCCCTAGCAAGCCAGATTGCCTAAACAGCAGTCACAAGAGAGAACAGCTATGAACAGCAGTTACAAGTTATCACATAACTCTTTGTAAGCAAGCATATTCATTCTTCAGGTAGAAGTGTTACAGATAAAGCCTACTAAAACAGCAACAGAACCTTCACACCTACTAATAAGCTTACCAGGGATCGCCTCTCTCAACTCCTGAGGGCTTTACAAGGAGTCCATCCTTCGAATCCCACAATGAGGCTTTTCTGTGGTTACAAGTGCATAATAACAGCCTTAGCTCAGAGCTACCACCCAGGATCAAGTTAGTATTTCCTGTATGCAGCTTGAGACTCCTCAAACAGTAATCAGTAGATATTGGCCTTCTCCCCAGGTAAAACTTCAAAAGGCTGGGTTTTGTATAACTAGATGTCAGGAATACGCGTATTCATTTTCCCCTAGAGATTCTTTGCGTGAATCCCTTGATAACAATTGTCTCCAAAGCCCATTCTTGTCAGGCACATTGTTCAGTACCGTTCATTGACATTCATAACACATCCAAAGTTTCACTTCCTGTCTCCCTCCTAGGGAGGTTACATACAATCCTGGCCCATGATAATATATAACTTTTGCATTTAATATAATGGACTAAAAAATACTTACAATTAATTCACTAAGGCTACGTCTACACTGCGGCACTATTACAGGATACCAAAAGAGCTATTCTGTGTCTTTTGAGTGCACCTGTTATTCCACGAGGTTCAGGGACGTTTCAGAATAGTTCTTTATTTTGAAACTACCTCGAAATAAGCTCCGCAATTTGCACTATGCAAATTGCTTAGTTTATTTTGAGGGTGCAGTGTAAACCTACCTTAAAGTTTATACAAGGATATTATAAGTAATTGTCAGATCCAACAAAGAGTATGTCTACACTGCCACTCTAGTTCGAACTAGGGTGGCTAATGTAGGCAATCGAAGTTGCAAATGAAGCCCGGGATTTAAATATCCCGGGCTTCATTTGCATCTTGCCGGGCGCCACCATTTTTAAATCCCCGTTAGTGCAGACTCCGTGCCTGCGGCTACACGCGGCACGGAGTAGCCCCTAATTTGAACTGCCTATTCCGTGCCGCGTGTAGCCACTAACGGGGATTTAAAAATGGCGGCGCCCGGCAAAATTCAAATGAAGCCTGGGATATTTAAATCCCGGGCTTCATTTGCAACTTTGATTGCCTACATTAGCCACCCTAGTTCGAACTAGGGTGGCAGTGTAGACATACCCAAAATGACTAACATCTGTCATATGTGGTTTGTTCTTGCTCCAGTCCTTTTCCCCCGGAGAAGAACTGTGTATGCAATATAATGTTTTGGTTTTGTAGGGTTTTAGTTAGTGGTGGTGGTGGTGGTGGTGGTGTGTGTGTGTGTGTGTGTGTGTGTGTGTGTGTGTGTATAAATACGTACTTGCTCTTCTAGGTTTATATTAGAAAAGGTCAGGTTGAAGGAGTGTGACTTACATTTGGAGTGAAAGGTGTTGAAGTCTGTGATTTCCTTACTTCTGTGGGATTTTTTTCAAAAGTTTTGGCCTGGCACTCACAAAGGTTCCATCTTCCAAGCTTTAGCCTTGCGATAGGAAGTTCCATTGTGCCTGAGGACTGGAGTTGTCAACCATAGTTTTCATGTCAGAGCTTCAGACAATCTTTAGTTATACTGAGCCCAAGCCAATGAGTGTTTTGAAGCTGACAGATAACTCAGAGACCTTGAAGTTGACTGAGGGACCTTCATTCTTCTCTCAATTAGGGCCTGATCCAAAGCCCAAGGTTATCAATGTGAGTCCTTTAATTGATTTCAGAGAGGTCTGGAAGAGTCCTCCCACAAGTGTGAATTAAGGATAATGCTTTGATGGCATTGTGTTAACTATATTATGAACATGGCCTTTTAAGTGATTCCATACAAAGTCCTATACCCAGTCCTATTGTGTGCAGAATGGTGGGTTATCAATCTGTTCTATCCTCATTACCATGGTATTTGAGCACAGGCTATCACTTCATGGGAAATACTGCTGTGCTCTTCTGTTACAGTGCAATGCAGAAACAAATCAATATATTCATCAGATGTTTATCCATTTTGTAGGATACAACAGACTATGTTGCATATGTAGCTAAGGACCCCGTTAATCGCAGAGGTAAGGTTTTTTTTTAATATTTGATGCCTTTCATTTAAAAAGCATATATTCATATTTTCTTTTTATTAGATTTTTTCCAGAAAAAGTAAATGCAGCACAATAAAAAGTTTACATTAGGGTTGTTTACAAGAAAAATCAGCATTGCATTAATGAGTAGCCACACACTTTAGTCCAGCAAATTTTTGCCATGAATAATATATTTCAAATAATTTCAATGCTCTTCATGCCTGGACTAGACCTTCCTAGCCTACTTGCTGAAAGTCATGAGGAAAGAGATTATAACCCACTTTGTTTATGATCTTCAAAATGTTACCTAGTTTTCCTTCTACTTTCCCTGCAATCAGGCAGTGGTTTCTCTCAAAGGCACCTCTTAGCAATAGCCTCAAACAAACAGGATTTATGATTCTGTTCTGAGTCTCATAAATAAAACCAAATTATACAAGAAACAGAAGAAATCATAATCTCAAAGTAAAGGTACAAGTTTTAGACCAATTGTATCAGTATCTTCATCAATGATTTAGATAATGGCATAGAGAATACACTTATAAAGTTTGAGGATGATACCAAGATAAGAGGAATTGCAAGTACTTTGTAGGATAAGATTATAATTCGAAATGATCTGGACAAACTAGAGAAATGGTCTGAAGTAAATAGGATGAAATTCAACAAGGAGAAACACAAAGTACTCCACATAGGAAAAAACAATCATTTGCACACATACAAAATGGCAAATGACTACCTAGAAATGAGTATTGCAGGAAGGACCTAGGGCTCATAATGGACCATAAGCTAAATATGAGTCAACAGTGTGACTCAATTGTTGAAAAAAACCCTGATATTTTAGTAGGAGTGTTCTAAGCAGGACACAAGAAGGAATTCTTCCATTTTACTCTGCATTGGTTAGGTCTTGATTGGGGTATTGTGTCCATTTTTGGGTGACACATTTCAAGAAAGATGTGGACAAATTGGACAAGGTCCAGAAAAGAGCAACAAAAATTATTAAAGATCTAGAAAACATGACCTATGAAGGAAGATTGAAATAATTGGGTTTGTTTAGACTGGAAAAGGAAGACCGAGAAGGGATATAACAGCTTTCAAATATCTAAAAGGTTGTTACAAGGAAGAGGGAGAAAAAATATTCTTCTTAACATCTGATGATAGGACAAGAAGCAATGGACTTAAATTGCAGCAAGGGTGGTTTTGGTTGGACATTAGGAAAAAAATCCTAAGTGTCAGGGTGGTTCAACACACGAATAAATTGCCTAGGAAGGTTGTGGAATCTCCATAATTGCAGATTTTTAAGAGCAGGGTAGTCAGACACTGCCAGGGATGGTCTTGATGGTGGTTGGTCCTGCCATGAGTGCAGGATACTGGACTTGATGACCTGTCGAGGCACCTTCCAGTGTCTTATGATTCTGTGAAAAGGCATCCATCTGTGTGTATTTCAGAAAGCTTTGTAAGGCCTTAAGTTTGTTACAATATATTGTATAATTACATATTAATAATAAATAGATTCTTGGTTAGAGTTTAAGGCCAGAGGGTCCTAACCGGAGTTCCTGAATATCACAGCTCACTAAACTTCATTCAGTAATTCCTGTGTCAGTCCAGTAACTTGTGTTTGGCTGTAATGTATCTTTTAGAAAGAAACATCCAGCCTAGATTTCAAGACATCAGAAGATGGCAAATCTTTTACTTCCCACGGTTGTTTGTTCAAGTTGTTAATCACCCTCATTGTTAAAAAATATATGCCTAATTTCTAATTTGACTATCTCTTGCTTCAATTTCCAATCATTGGTCCTTGTTCTGCCTTTCTCCACTAGATTAAAGAGCCCTTACAGTACAGCATTTTCTTCTCATGAAAGTATTTATGCACTGTAATCAAGTCACCTCTTAATCTTCTTTTTGGTAAACTAAACAGATCAAGCTCTTAAAGGCTTTCACGGTCAGGCATTTTTTTCCTGGTCTCTAATCATTTAATGGCTCTTATTTTCACTTTCTGCAATTTAAAAAAAATCTTTTTTTTAAATGTGGACTTTAGAACCTGACACAGAATCTCTGTATTGGCCTCACCAATATCATGTACAGGTGTAAAATCACCTCTTCTCTGTCTTCTCTTTCTATACATCTGTCACAGTGAGGTCTCAGCTCAAGAGTGCCCCCTTGTGTCTGAGAGAGAATATGGAAGGAGTTTTCATAGCTAGTGTCCTCATGCCATCTGTTTTTGCACACCACCCAACGTGCTGGGTGAGAAGCAGCTAGTCCCATGCCCCTTCTGTGGTAACAAAAATGTCCAAGAGAAGTCCAGAGTATCCACCTATCTTCTGGGCCCCATGTACCAGCAGTTCCACTTTCTTCAGCTTAGGAGTCAAGCACTGCCCTGAGTCTTCCTAAGGCCGCTAGCAACCTCTGGCAGGTGGAGTGAATGTGTGTAATTGGCCTTTAACTCTTCCTTGCCTGTGATGGGGTTCACCTCATTACAGTATCCCATTGATACACTTTAGGAGCTCATGTTCAGCTGTTTGTCCACTGTGACCCTTAACTGACACACTTTAGAAGCTCATGTTCAGCTGTTTGTCCACTGTGACCCTTAAATCATTTTTTGAATCCCTTCTTTCCAGGTTACAGTCTCCCATTCTGTAGGTCTTACCTGCATTCCTTGCTCCTAGATGGATAGCTTTGACTTTGGCTGTACTGAAACACATTTTGTTTGAATAGACCCAGTTTACCAACCAAACTACTCTATATGACTGTCCTGTCCTCATTATTTACCACTCTCCCATCTTTGTATCACCCACAATATTTACAGCCATGATTTTATATGTACTTCTCTATTACTGATGAAAATGCTGTTATTTAAATTAGCACCCACAGCATGCTTGACATTATACATACGTATAAGAATATTCATCCTTTCCCCAAAGAGTTTAAAATGGTACGTTTCCTCTCAGAGTCTAATGTTCTTGCACTTGTCCTACCCTGTCCATCTTCCAGTTGCCCAGCCTGTAACAAGCCCCAAAAATCCTCTTTGTGAGCCAAACCTCTCCTTCCTTTTATAAGGAAAGGGGTGATCCATGAAACAAGTTAGATGCCGAAATTCCAGAGTTAGGTGCCTATTTCTCCTTGCATCATTGTGATTCATGAAACTCCTGCTTGGCTGCCACCAAGGGTACCTAAAGTCATTTGTCACCTAACTTTCTGTTGTGAAAGTTTTCTAGGCTCCCAAGTATTAGACTCTGGGGTAGATGCATTGCTGCCTTTCGTTAGGTGTCTTTATACTGTGTGTATGATTCATGAGCCAGAAGAACACAGATATTTAACTGCCCAAGTCAACTGCAGAGCCTGATCTGAGGCCAATAACTGATCCAATGTGGATAAATACTTGAGTGGTCATTGGGCCAGAGAGAGAGACAGAACAAAGGAGACCCCAATGGTTAGAACACCTGCCTAAGAAGGGGAAGACTCTAGGTCCAGTCCTCCTGCTCCAGTGACTCATTATTATCCACAGTAGAACAGCATCAATAGGAGAGACTGAGGAAACCCACCATTACCAAAATGTCCCATAGTCGAATGGTGAGAGCATCTTCCTGAAAGGTGGAAGACCCCTGTTCAAATTCTTTCTCTGTTTCTGGCAGAGAGTGGGGACTTGAACCTGGATTGCCCACATCTAGGTGAGTGTTCAACCAGTGGGTGCATGTTGTAAGGTGTGCCCCACTGCCCCTTTTCCCAGACATTTGGTATGAACGTAAGAATGGCCATACTGGGTCAGACCAAAGGTCCATCCAGTCCAGTATCCTGTCTGCCGACAGTGACCAATGCCAGATGCCCCAGAGGGAGGGAACACAACTGGTAATCATCACGTGATCCCTCTCCTGTCATCCATTTCCAGACAAACAGAGGATAGGGATACCATTCCTACCCATTCTGGCTAATAACCATTGATGGACCTAACCTGAATGAATCTATCTAGCTCTCTTTTGAACCCTGTTAAAGTCCTAGTCTTCACCACATCCTCTGGTAAGGAGTTCCATAGGTTGACTGTGCACTGAGTGAAGAAAAACTTCCTTTGGTTTGTTTTAAACCTGATACCTATTTCATTTGGTGACCCCCTACTTTTTATGTTATGGGAACAAGTAAATAACTTTTCTTTCTTCACTTTCTTCATACCTGTCATGATTTTATAGACTTCTATCATACTCCCATGTAGTCTCTTTTCTAATGTGAAAAGTCACAGTCTTTTTAATCTCTCTTCATGTGGGACCCATTCCAAACCCCAAATCATTTTTGTTGCACTTTTTGAACCTTTTCTTTTTTGAAATGAGGTGACCACATCTGTATGCAGTATTCAAGATGCGGGCGTACCATAGTTTTGTATAGAGGCAATAAGATATTCTGTGTCTTATTCTCTATTCCTTTTTTAATTATTCCTAACATTCTATTTGCCTTTTTGTCTGACTCTGAAAACACACTGAATGGATGTTTTCAGAGAACTATCCTCAATTACTCTAAGATCTTCCTCTTGAGTACTTGTAGCTAAATTAGTCCCCATCATATTGTATGTATACTAGAGATTATTTTTTCCAATGTGCATTACTTTACCTTTATCAACATTAAATTTCATTTGCCATTTTGTTGCCCAGTCACTTAGGGTATGTCTAAACTACATGGCTCCGTCGACGGAGCCATGTAGTTTAGACATACCCTAAGTGACTGGGCAACAAAATGGCAAATGAAATTTAATGTTGATAAAGGTAAAGTAATGCACATTGGAAAAAATAATCTCTAGTATACATACAATATGATGGGGACTAATTTAGCTACAAGTACTCAAGAGGAAGATCTTAGAGTAATTGAGGATAGTTCTCTGAAAACATCCATTCAGTGTGTTTTCAGAGTCAGACAAAAAGGCAAATAGAATGTTAGGAATAATTAAAAAAGGAATAGAGAATAAGACACAGAATATCTTATTGCCTCTATACAAAACTATGGTACGCCCGCATCTTGAATACTGCATACAGATGTGGTCACCTCATTTCATAAAAGAAAAGGTTCAAAAAGTGCAACAAAAATGATTTGGGGTTTGGAATGGGTCCCACATGAAGAGAGATTAAAAAGACTGTGACTTTTCACATTAGAAAAGAGACTACATGGGAGTATGATAGAAGTCTATAAAATCATGACAGGTATGAAGAAAGTGAAGAAAGAAAAGTTATTTACTTGTTCCCATAACATAAAAAGTAGGGGGTCACCAAATGAAATAGGTATCAGGTTTAAAACAAACCAAAGGAAGTTTTTCTTCACTCAGTGCACAGTCAACCTATGGAACTCCTTACCAGAGGATGTGGTGAAGACTAGGACTTTAACAGGGTACTAAAAACTTACAATTTATTCCTACCCTGTTTCCTGTCTTTTAACCAGTTATCAGCCCATGAAAGGACCTTCCCTCTTGTCCCATGACAATTTACTTTTCTTAAGAGCCTTACTTTACTTATGGGCTACGTCTAGACAGGCATGATTTTCCCCAAATGCTTTTAATGGAAAAGTTTTTCTGTTAAAAGCATTTGCGGAAAAGAGCGTCTAGATTGGCACAGACCTATACAATGAATGAAGAGAAATAGGAGCCCAAAAAATGAGATTGACAAATGCTAGTATACTAGGCAGGAAGCCACCTCTGCTAGCCAATGGGAGATGTTAACAACAAGAATGTGCACTAAGACTCACCCCTCTCTCAAAGGTAGGTACCTATCTCCACTAGTGTTTCTCAAACAGGAAACACTCCACCTGGAGTCAGGTGGCTCAAGTGTTACTTGGGGAAATGAGTTAGGTGCCTGCTTTGCTCCATGGCTGTGTCTAGACTGGCAAGTTTTTTCCGCAAAAGCAGCTGCTTTTGCGGAAAAAACTTGCCAGTCTAGACACAGCCATGGAGCAAAGCAGGCACCTAACTCATTTCCCCAAGTAACACTTGAGCCACCTGACTCCAGGTGGAGTGTTTCCTGTTTGAGAAACACTAGTGGAGATAGGTACCTACCTTTGAGAGAGGGGTGAGTCTTAGTGCACATTCTTGTTGTTAACATCTCCCATTGGCTAGCAGAGGTGGCTTCCTGCCTAGTATACTAGCATTTGTCAATCTCATTTTTTGGGCTCCTATTTCTCTTCATTCATTGTATAGGGAGCAAGGACCTAACATGGCTTTGTGGACTACAAAGTTTTTCCTGTGATTTTCTGGGCACTTAAAAGTTAAGCACTACAATACTAATGTCACAACACCCAGATCTCTTTGTGGATCCTGCCTCTAATTCTTCCCTGCCAAGAAACCACCATTATATCCAAGGAGACGGTTTATCCATGATGTTATTTTTAATATAATTTTATTTTAAACACGTTTAGCAGCAGGCAACATACCCACTTCCTCTGTTGCATGCATATATATTATAATTCTCTGTTCAACTTAACTTCTTTCACTCCACATGTGTGGAGATGCCTGTATGTTACCTGGGGAATCCATTGGTGCTGAATGTGTAGCACAGCTAGTCAGACAGTTTATTTTTTTAAGGCAAATTCACTTCAAAAGCTAGTGGCATCAGTCTCAGTCTTTATGCAGGTGAAATGTGCAGGGTTGGGGGGAAACTCCATCTGCAATCCAAAGCCAGGAACATTTGCTCTGCAGCAAGGCATCACACAACTCTACGGGTGGGGATAGCAGCCGCTGTATCTGCATAATTGCAGATCTCATGGTGTCCTACCCTGGCCTTGGCATAAATCCTTCCTTTATGGCAGTCTGTGTGAGGCCTCTGCATAGATGCTCTTCAAGTGCTGCGTGACTGTGTGACAGTTACTAACACAATTGTACCACAACACACAAATGTCATCATTCCTAATTTGACCCTCCTGCAGCCCAAATCCCACTGGACATGTATGCTTATCTACACTGCCATCAGGAAATGTGATTACAGCATGCATGGACATACTCAAGCCAGCTTTGATTCAGCTATATTGTGGGTATAGATTCTTATTTGCTTAGTTATTGGGAAGGGAGTGGGTTTCTCTGCCCCCAGTAGATGTAGATGTGGTGTAGCCAGTCTCTCTCCACACAGATCCAGAGTATCAGCCTGGAAGAATGTATGCTGGGGTGCGGGTTGGGTTGTAGAGCTGCTGTACTGGCTATATGCCACTGCCTTTGCCTGGGTACTACCCAGATAGGGTATGTCTACATTACCACCCTAGTTCAAACTAGGGTGGTAGTGTAGACATACCCATAGCTAGTTACACCAACATACCTCACCGTTGTGACTCTGGAGCCACCTAGCAGGACCAAAGATCTAACTGATATCCTACATATGACTACTTCGCTCATGCCTCAGTTTGGGAAAGTTCGGAACCAGTTGGAAACTTTGTAGCACAGGTACACATTGAGATCAGTAGTTTAGAAAACCAACTATGGAAACAGTAAAATTATGGAAAATAAATCAAAGGGAAATAAAGGTAAGTTTAATTTGGAATGATCTGAAAATGTTCTCTAGTGTCTATCTCTTTATTTTAATAGAAAGCTCAGAATTCTCCTGTAAATTGCTGCATGCAGTTACAGTCAGGTGATAATGAATTTATTAAGAGCTTCTCTTCTTGAAGAAGCTTTTCAAATTATAAGACTTGATTCTGGTCTCTCTTACATCAGTCCTACATGGTTTTATGATACTTCCATTAGACCAATGGAATCACTCCTGATTTCAGATGGTGTAAGTGAGAGGAGAATCTAGCCAATGTCTTAAGTTAGCTGTAGCTAATTGCTATTTTTGTTCATTCAGAGTTTAATAACATCTTTACGTCATGAAAAGTACAATTGTCCTTGACTTTGAGGTCCTTGTGCCATTAATTACTACATCTCAGCAAAGACTGTATAAATAATGGTGTTCAAATGTTGGTATCTTTTCTTTTTTCCTCTAGCGTGCCATATACTAGAATGCTGTGATGACTTGGCCCAGGATGTTATCAGCACCATAGGACAAGCATTTGAACTTCGATTCAAGCAATATTTACGGTGTCCCTCTAAGATACCTGCTCTCCATGATAGGTGAACAGCATTTCAGTAGAATCTTTTTCTAGTTCAGCAGTTTCCATCACCAGCTGGTAAAGTGAGGGGTGAATTTATGGCAGTGCTGTGAATGAAACCATCTTAGAAGAACTGGATTTTAAACATACTTTAAAACAGGTTCCCAAGAAATGAGTGAAACATGATTTACCTGATCCATGTGGATAGACCAATATCATTTACAAATCATGTATAAACATGGCCTCTTGGCTAAAATGATTTAAAATTATAATGTCCTATCCATACTGGCTAGTTAAACCCTTGTGAGAGATCGAAAGGTGGCCCAATGTACAGGAGAAGTGTGCTAAAGGAGTTATAGTGCACATTGTTACTGTGAGAGATAGAAAGGTGCCCCAATGCACAGGAGAAGTGTGCTAAAGGAGTTATAGTGCACATTGTTAAATGAACCTAAGGGAGCCTAAATTGATATAACTTACGTATTGAGATGCCAGAACAAATTGTAAATTACATCAGCTAAGAGTCATCTCTATATGTGGCCCCAGACTAAATCACTGTTTTCAGCATAGTTTTTAAATGGCTATGCTCTAGCCTCTTACCCACACTGAATGTCTTTAAGCTGTGTTAGCCTATATCGTTAAAAAAATTAATTTCTAAATCCAGCTTATTTATACTCAGTGTGGATAGAGTCTTGAAGTAATGCAAGTGGATGAACTTCCCTGGAAGGATGGAACCTATACTGTAGGGTTTCTTGCAAAGTCATGCATGTTCTTGATGCAGTTTAGTCTGCTCATTTTAGAGATTTTTCTTTTTGCTGCAAGTCATAAAAATCACTGTTGTAACCCCTGATTAAAGTCAAAGAAACAGGCTTTCTTAAAAACACATGAATAGAGGTCAGACCTTTCCACCCATGAAAAAAGTGCACAACATGGAAAGGTTGAGTGGGAGGAAACTCTATGTGAGATTGTTCTAAAAGGGGAACTGGATTTACTCCCTACCAATGGTAGCCAATGGTTCAGCCTTCACACTGATTTTCATATCTTTTCCCCTCATCTCAGTCACTGCCTATAGCAACATTTTTAGAAACTTTCCTACCAATGCTAACTTCATATCACCTCCATTGCTATAAGCAACATTAGAAGTCCCAGGGTTGCTCTGAGTAGGGTTACTTGATGTAGTGTTACAAAACAATCATGGCAACCCTACGCGTAGAGAGTGTAGAATGCTACCATCTGATTGGGAAGAATTTTACCTTTCCTTTGCTCTGGTGCAAATGACAGCCTGATGTGCAGTGAAACAGAGAATCAGGCCTATTGAATTCACCAAATTCATTCCTGATTTACACCCGGGTTCTTTAGATCCAAAACCGGTGCCAAGATATTATGAAGGATCCTTTTTTTTAAACCATCCCTCAATCACATAAATAATACTACACATAACATGGTAAATGTAACTAGGAATAAGTTTTTAATGGTTGTCATTAATAGGGATGTATAAGGCCTGATTTAAAGCTCACAGATGTCTATGAGAAGGCTCCCCTCAATTTCAGAGGGTTCTGGATCAGTCTCATTACAAGGATGAATCTGCTTGATTCATCCTATTTTAATTTATAAATGTAGCTTAATTATCAAAGGGCTGGATAGTATTTGGCATATGTAGATAGTTCTATAGCACTTCAGGTGCTACAAAGATGAGTAATGAAATGCTTTGCTACAGGATGCAGAGTTTTGATGAACCTTGGATGGAGGAAAATGGAGAGTCAGTGGAACATCCCTATTACAACAGCATCCCCAATAAAATGCCTCCTATTGGTGGCTTTATTGATGCTAGATTCAAAACCAGGATCCCAAATGCTGCAGATACTGCTCAGGTGAGTGAAATGTTACATGCTTGAGCTGTCCTATTCAATGCAATGGATCAAATATTTGAAAGCAGCATTTTATTTTCAGATCAGTGCACTGACCCTGTTATATATTTGTGAAGCTTTTTGTGTATGGCTTGAATTGTTCTCCTGCAACTGTTCTCTTGTTGCTTCATATTCAGTCATGAACTTGAATAAGAAATGAAACAAGGCTCTGTATTGCTTACTATTACATTTTGGATCATCCTGCAATGCATGTGCTGAGGAAGAAGAGGCTAGAAATGACCTCTTCCCCATTGCGATGTCTGAAACACCTGCTCAGTAGACAGACAAAATCAGGGCTTTCCAGGCAGGGCTGTCCTTACCCATATGCAGAATAAGCAGTAGCGTGGGACATCACTGGGTCTTAATGTCCACCCAACCACCTTTTGCTTGCCCTGTTCTGTGGTTCTGCTTCCTCCAGAAAGGATCCAGTTAACTTAAAAGTGAAAAAGCCTGACAGACCTATTAGCAGAACTCGAAACCTATGAAAGAGCCATTCAAGTGGTAATGAGGTCATTTAACAGGCAATTGCCAAAACCACGTATATACTGTCAGTTTCTGAATTGACTATGTTAGTTTACAGGACTTTAGTTTAAATTTGCTTTAAAATATTTCATCAGTGTGTGGCTGAAGATTATCAAATCACATCTCTAAAAAATGTGCCTTCCCTCCACACACCCCCACCCTCCCATTGGCTGCCATCAGGCACAGAAGCACCAGTTTAATAGTACTGCTTAGGGTCCCATACATCCTAAGGATGGCCCTGCTTCCAGATGATAGAATGCTAGGTGGGAGTGGTCCCTGGCTAATATTTTCTGCCCTCCATAAGACATGGCTAAGTAGCTAGGGAGGCATTTTAAGGTCCCATTCCCTGTTAACACACAAAAGGAAAGGCAGTGTACACTATTCCCATTTGGACTTAAGCCCTAACTGTTGGATTATAGAGTAATTTTCCTGCTTTCTCTGGCACAATTAACATTTAATTATTCAATTATATAATGTTAGTGAAACAACTTCAATGAGGGCACCTCATCAGGATACCCCATTGCTCAAAGGTTTGGGCATTCTTCAGAGAAGTGGCAATTCCCTGTTCAAGTTCCTTCTCCTTGTCAGGCAGCAGTAACTTGAATCCCCCATCCTTGACCCCACAGCAGGGACTGCATCCCCATGTGGAGCCCTCACCCCACCCTTCACTCCAACTCTTTGCCTCAATCCCTAGCCTCTACCAATATTCTGAATCTCTCAGCCCTGCTCTCCCAGCCTGCAGCCCCCTCCTGTACCCCAAGCCCCTTAACTTCATCCCAGGCCCCTCATTCTCCTTCCCCAGCCCAGTGAAAGTGAGTTAGGGTGGGAGACAGCAAGCCACCAAGAGAGGGAGAAATGTAGTGAGCAGAGAATGGGGCCTTGGGAAGGGATGGGACAAGGAGCATGGCCCTGGGGAGGAGCTGTGCTAAGGTGATTGTTTTTGTGCAAATAGAAATTTGGCAGTTTAATAGTAATGCCCTCCCAACAGGGGTCTCCCACATCCCATGTGAAAACCATAATCACTGGGCTATTACTGAGGTCACCTCTTCTGTTGTTCTGGGTGGAGTCATGTGGCCTCTGAACACACCTGGTGGATTGGGCCCTTCGCATTAGTTAGTGGAGTAACACCTATCTTCCCCTGGTTCCTGAGTCGCTAGAAGAGCTAAGTACCTCCCTGCAGCCTGGGTTCTGTGAGGGTGTGAGGTTTGTGACCCATCCAATTTATCAGCATCTCCTATTGGCTAGATTAGGTAGCTTTGTGGGTTGCATTCCAAGATCCTTATCTCTCCTCATTCATTGAGCTGGAGCTGAGGTGCCTAACTCAGCTTTGTGTGTCACGGTGTTTTTCCTGTGATTTATCTAGGCACCTAACAGGTGTTGTGATGATCAGTATCACAGGCTATGTCTAGACTACAGGCTTCTTTCGGAAGAAGCTATTCTCGGAAGAGATCTTCCGAAAAACCTTTTTCCAAAAGAGAGCATCCACACTGCAAAAATGCATTGAAAAAGTGACCTGCTTTTTCGAAAGAGAGCGTCGAGATTGTATGGACGCTCTCTCGTATGGTAAGCTGTGATTGCTATGGATGGAATGACCACAAAGGCTTCTTTCTCATAGAATGAGGATTACCAATGCCGGAAAAACTCCTCTGTTCTTTCGATTTTCTTGCAGAAGAATGTAATTGCAGTGTGGACGTTCCTCAAGTTTTGTCAGAGAAATGGCCATTTTTCCGACAAAACTCTGTAGTGGAGACATACCCGCAGTGCCTAAGTCCCTTGTGGATCTGGGCCTAGGATCCTGCATACAGATGCAGAGCTACTTTCTTTGCTGACTTAGGTAATTGGATGAAGCGAGTCCAGTTAGATCCAAAGTATGACATTGAAAGGTTGAGCCTCTGTAGTTTTTTGAATTGACTAATACAGTAGCTTCAAACGTTTTCCCCCTACAGGCCACTTGAAAATTACTGAGGATCTCGGTAGACAACTTAATGATCTTTCCCAGTGTTGTTTGTACCATTAGCTAACTATTGTAAAGAGCTATGGATAAAAGCACTATATAAAAATCTTAATTAATGGTTTTGTTCTACAAATAAAAGCACACAATTAATATTTCAATATCAGTAGTCATACCTTTCTAATGCAATGGATGTGTCTGTTTTGGAGAGCAAAGTTCAGGGAAGTTGGGTATAAAGTTTGTCAGCTTTAGCCTTTGGTCAGGTTGAGCATTTCCCCTACTTCTGTGTTTGGAATTGAGAGTGGTAAATGATGAAAATTCTGTCTCACATAGGTATATAGTAGCAAATGGCACCAGAAAACATACTACTTGGTCTGCACGTTCTAGGAAAGGTCTTTTAAATTCTGACCATAATGTTTCGTCTCAAGAACACTCCAACAAGCACTCTTGTGCCTAATTGAACAAACCAGATGCATCTCACTGATTTCAATTAGGAAAGGATTATGTATCCAGTTGTTTGGTTCAGCTTCTACTAAAAAGTAATCTTCAAACTGTTGTTTAAGAGCAACAAGATGTTGAGGTTCAGCTTCTACTAGAAAGTAATCTTCAAACTGTTGTTTAAGAGCAACAAGATGTTGTTCAATGTCATTTTTTTCAATAACCAGTTCATTTCAGACAGAAAACCTTGCAATGTTGGAACCTTAGAGGGAACTATCCTCACACCATCTGAATTGAGCTCACAGGCTACCTGTGATCCTTGGGCTACAGTTTGAGACACTCTGGACTAATATTTCAAGCTGGTGGAGTCTCTTTCTCTTAACCATAAAGGAAATGGTAGTTTGAACAGCATCCAATTGTTTGAATGCTGGGTTAAGACCAGAGGATTTTCTTACAGGACCAGTCTAACTGTTCCCATTCAGTCAAAAATGCAAGGATTGGTCTCATAGATGGAAATCCTTCAAGCTAAACTGTGAAGGCAGATCCCTGTACCTATGCGGAGTCCCACTGACTTCAGTGGGGCTGAGTAGCTGTAAGAGGCTGGCCATATAAAGTTTACTGAAAACAGCGGTGCTCTGCCAGTCTGAATGAAACAGCATTCATGAGCCAAAGATCATAACGTTGGCAGCACATTTCTATTTAATTCACAGAGATGTCTTGTCTGATGAGAACCCCTATTACCATGCTGTCATTGGGTACCAGGGAGTAAATCTTTCTGTTAATCCTTTGGAAGATGCTTGCCCATTCTTGTATTTCATCACCAATTTCCTGCATCCTCAATAGGTTTGCAAGGTTTGCCAAAAAAAGAAGGCAGCATATTTTATAGATGCACCTGGTATTGTCATTGAGCATAGCAAAGGTTAA